TCGTAGTTTTATCGTCTCACTAATACCAGGTTGTAGCTCAGTGTCGTAGGTTTGTCGTCTCACTAATACCATGTTGTAGCTCAGTGTCGAAGTTTTGTCGTCTCACTAATACCAGCTTGTAGCTCAGTGTCGTAGCTTTGTCGTCTCACTTATACCAGGTTGTAGCTCAGTGTCGTAGTTTTGTCGTCTCAATAATACCAGGTTGTAGCTCAGTGTCGTAGTTTTGTCACCTCACTAATACCAGGTTGTAGCTCAGTGTCGTAGTTTTGTCGTCTCACTAATACCAAATTGTAGCTCATTGTCGTGGTTTTGTTGTCTCACTGATACCAATTTATAGCAGATTGCGTGGTTTTCTGTATTTGTCTTTTGCTTCTCAAATAGCTTGGGTGATGGATTTGTTCATCATGTTGCAGGTTTCTTCCATACCATTTATCCACATCTTTCTTGGTCCTTCTCTCGTCTTCCTCCCAGTTGTTCTGCTAATAATTAGCCTTATATGCAGTTTGGTCGAAGATTATTCTCATTAGATGGCTAAACTATTTTATTCTTTGGCTGTCAGTATAATCCAGACATGTTGAATACAACACAACATTTGAATAGAAAGCTCGACAAAGACAATAGAAAAGACGCAGTAGTTGTGGATGCCTTTTCCATTCTATCAGCTGAAAGTTTTAGTGACATCCTACGCTATAGTTAGTACTATTTATTTAAAGATCCAGTCAAGTACAGTATGATCATAGTCTTGTTATCTTTAACATATTACCACCTGAACGAGGCTCAAAGTGTCCTTTGCCAACTGTATTACTAGACATAAAGTACAAAGTACACAAAAAGTAAGTAAAGGATAATTATTTTGCTTTTAGTGAATCGGGAATATAATCGTCCACACTTCCTCTTTCTCCTTTCTGTGTCGAGTGAGATGCACGGTTGTGCTTCATACTCTTCTGGCAGCCGTATACACATCGTGCTGCTGCAGATTTTTCTAATGTCATCTTTCTATCTTGTTATTGATCTACCTTGTACTCTACGTCTTTCTACTCTTTTGGTGTATGGCTTGCATAGTATCGCGTCACAAGGTATTCTCTCTTAGTAGACAAACCATTTGATTAGCTGTCATTGTGCAACTTAGAATTGCTTCTTTGCCAACATTTTTTTTAATTATCTCATTCCTCATTTGATCTCTTGTGGTTGCGCCTGCCGCCGTTGTTTCACATCTCGTCCCCAATATTAATAACTGTCTTTTTTGCTTTGCTGTCTATCATCGTCTGTGACTGTGCAGTTATGAGTACACAAATTATTTTATTTGCTGCCATTGTTTGTAATTTAGAATTGTTCTTTGCCAACTTTTGTCTTATGCTCTCATTCCTCATTTGACCTCTTCTGGATGCGCTTGCAGCCGTTCTTGGACATCTTATCTCCATTGTTGGTAATTGTATTTGTTGGCTTGCTGTCAATTACTAATTCCGGCACTGGGTGGATATGAGTATGTTTTGTATGAGATGGGAATATAATGCTTGATCTATATTTGTAGATCGGTTGGTGATATAGTCAACATCACGGCGTACACTTTTACTTCCCAATACATTACCTGTTACAATTTAGGCTGGGTCGACATGTGAACCAAGGTCAGTTTTAAAAAAAAAATCTGCTTAGATGCTGATCTGAATACTAGACATTTGAGTCGACAGGGAACGTCTAGTCCATAAATAGTACTAGTACAATAGATTTTAAAAAAAGCAAATGACCATTCTTCCACAACTCTGGGCGTATTGGGCATATAGGGCGAGACATATTTTTTAGAACAATCAGCACTTGGTGGGTGATGTGATAACATCAAGCCGGCCGTCCTTACTTCAAAAAAAACTGCACCTGATACTAGCTCAAGGCTGGGTCGACCTGGGAGCTAAGGTCGTTTTTAGGATCTGACACCACAACTTTCCGATCCGGATGCGAATTTCTAAACTCTACACCATGGCGGCTCCTGAAAAAAAGTATATAATGAGGTTTAAGGATATAGGCCACACAGTTGTTAGCTTAAAATTGGTTAAAGCTGAGAGGGTCGACCTCATGGTACCGGCTTTTATCCCACACATACAGCTCTGTCTTTCTCTGCAAAACAGCTAGCCACCTGCCGAAAGGGTCGCACAAAGCACGATTTTCATAGCTCCGACGATGATCCCTAGGGTCTCTCCGCAAAAAGTACATTCATGAACTGAATGACTCAGCCGTGAAACGAACCCACGACCCTCAGGGAGCAAGGGGAACGGCTTGACCCCATTGTTACGGAGACATATTTGCTGATCCTCAGTGGCAAGCCTGATGGGCTTGGACTGTATCGTTTGTCGGTTGCCGATTGTTCAAACATATGTTCAACAACACCATATGCCAAAGGTATCGAAATATTTATTTTACATTGTTGAACTGCTGAAAAAAAAATTGAATCGCTCCACTTACCAGCCACCACCAGTAGAATAGTTGCAAAGATGACAGTGCTCGCCATATCTAGACCTGTATTAATTGTTGATGAGAAGTATTTACTGAAGCCCTACACCATTAGCTATAAATGCTCATAAATTGTGCACCGCCACAAAAATGTATTTTAAATAAAAGTAAAAGATTGTCTCTGTTTGCATGGGCGCTGACACGGAGAAGCTATAAAGGAAGATAGCTAGTTTCAAAATTTGTTTTTGGTGGGGGGCAGGGCAGAGAGGGAAAAGGGGGAAAAGGGGGGGGGGGGGGTGAGAAGAATCAAGGGAATTAAGTATTTAAAAAAAAAAGTGTTAAATTATTAATTATGTAATTCATTTTATTGTTGTTATTGCTATTTTTATCATTATGTGTCCGACAGCAAATTAATGTTAATATTTTTAAAATTATTTCAGATGTTCAGTAAAAAATACTTCAAAATAACCAAATACTTTAACATAGACAAATACTTCAACATCACCAAATACTTCGACATAAACAAATACTTCAACATTGATAAACACATTAACATAGGATGTCAATGCACGGTTACATAAACCAGTTTACAATCTTGCAAATTTGGTTTCTTCAATAATTTACCGTTTTGTGGCTTATAGGTTAGCGAGCGCGGTTCACAAATTCCTGATCCTCGCGGTGGATACTTATCAATTTCATTATCCTTGTTTTCAGACAGTAGTATGAGAGTCACACAGTGGAAGAGATTGAGACCTCACAACGAAACATTTCTAAAGAGCTGTGGTACACTATAGCCAACCGTCATTGTGGAGACGGTGCAGATTTTAAAGTTATTTAGATAATTTGAGAAGGGGCGGGTTACCTCACGAAGGTGGCGCTCAAGGAGTTTAAACCCTTAAGTTATGGCGCCTTTGTCTGTTTGACCTATTAAGCGCTAAGTATAGATAAGATTAAAGTTGTCTTAGAATTGAAAAGGTTTGTTAAAACTGAAGTTTTTACTTTGTTATTTTTTTTTAAATTATAGTTAGGAAGACCATCTGGTGGTTCTAGTTATGGTCTCGTTACAAGGTCAGGCTTACGGGTTTTAGGGCAATGTCCAGCTTGTGGTCATGAAGAAAGATTACACAACCTTGCTGCAGGGAAAGTTTGGATCTTCAAGGCTGAGAAGCCTGTGTGTTTGTGTGTGTGTGTGTGTGTGTGTGTGTGTGTGTGGTTGGGAAAAGGGGGGATGGGGGGTATTTTGCTGCAGCTACAAACAAGACACGATCATCCACGTCTAACAGCTGTGTCAATATTTAATGTACATGTTTGACTTTGTCAGCATTTTGATTAAGTTTCAGTTAATTATGCGTGGGGGTCGCTGGGGCATACTCGGATCTAATTCTTATCAAGAGGTATTATTTTGACAACTGAACTTGGCTCCCAGGTCAAGCCAGGGTAAAATGGTTAAAATGTCCTGGGAAGCATAGGCGGCCTATGTAAAGGTGATTATATTAACCATCGGTGGCCGACTGGTCAACAAAATTATTACTCTAGCATCATGTGTCATTTATGTTCAAACTTGTTGGATAAATTATTTTCCTGTGTCCATCGAGTGCTTCCTAGCCAAGACTGCATTATCGGTGTTGTCGTTGTTTTCGTTGTTGTCGCTGTTGCTATTGTTGTCGTTGTTGTCATTGTTGTCGTTGTTGTCATTGTTGTCATTGTTGACATTGTTGTCGTTGTTGACATTGTTGTCGTTGTTGTCGTTGTTGTCATTGTTGTCATTTATGTCGTTGTTGTCATTGTTGTCATTGATGTCGTTGTTGTCGTTGATGTCGTTGTTGTCATTGATGTCGTTGTTGTCGTTGATGTCGCTGTTGTCGTTGTTGTCGTTGTTGTCATTGATGTCATTGTTGTCGTTGTTGTCATTGTTGTCATTGTTGTCATTGTTGTCATTGATGTCATTGATGTCGTTGTTGTTATCGTTGTCATTGATGTCGTTGTTGTCGTTGTTGTCGTTTGTGTCGTTAGTTGTCGTTGTTGTTCGTCGTCGTTGTCATCGTTGTTGTTGTTCTTTGTCGTTGTTGTCATTTGTGTCGTCCGTTGTCGTTTGTGTCTTTCGTTGTCGTGGTTGTTGTTCGTTGTCGTTGTTATTGTTCGTTGTCGATGTTGTCGTTGTTATTGTTTGTTGTCGTTGTTGTCGTTGTTGTTGTTTGTTGTCGATGTTGTCGTTGTTGTTGTTCGTTCTTGTTCTGTGTCGTCGTTGTTGGAATCTTTCGTCTTTTCAGACGATAGTGTTATATTGTAATATGATGAGGCATGAGGAGTCGCGTTGGCGGAGGGCTAGACGCGCACCGCGGATCGGAAAGTCGTGGGTTTGCTCCACGGCGGAGCTGGACTTTTCTTAAACAATGACCTTGGCTCCCAGGTCGACCCAGCCTTGAGTACCAGGTGCACTCCCGGGAAGTAAAGGCGGCCGGCGTGAGGCTTACCACATCACCCATCTTGTGCGGTTGGTCTATAAAAGAAAGGTCTAGCCCTATATGCGCTATTCGCCTAAAGGCGTGGAAAAGGGTCCTTCACGTTTACTATGATGAGGCATGGGACTCACAGCCCAAGGTGGTGGTGAGTGGGACTAGTAAGGCCCGCCTGAGTTAAGGAAGAGTCTTCCACAAATATATAGTTGAGTTGCTTGGTTTTGAGGCCTCAAAGGCTACAGGTTTCCCGGTTCAATCCGCGATAAGAGCTAGGATCTTTTCTCATGGACTTTGACTTCTAGTAATTCCCCCTGATCTCTGGGTAGTGAGACTTGACGCCCGTGTGCATTGTTAAACACGTACAAAATCCCTTAACAGTTGGAAATCGCAAAGAGTAGCCTAACGGCGCTGACGGGGCAATATTTGGAGCTAAAAATATACCTAAAGTATTTCAGTATCCTGGCCGGTGCTTCAGAGCCTGTGCGCTGTGCTGAGCTACTTCGGACTCAGACTTGAGTTGGAAGAAACAAAGGAGCACTTATGGGATCCTGCAATACTTTTGGGTAGATTTTTAACTTTGCCCTGGCAGCGTCGTTAGGCTACTCTCTTCGATTTTTAACTGCTAAGGACTTTTTTTTTACGTGCCCAACCAAAAACACGAGCGTACGGTCTTACTATTTGAAACCAGGGGAAAATTACTAGAAATCCATGTGAAAAAAAAAAATCCTAGCTCTCACTAGTGATTGAACCCCAGACCTCTAGCACTCAAGGCGGACACTAATCCTCGCGACCACGCAGGCGCCCTACGAGAACTTGTTGCAACACGAGAATTGGTTAACATTTTGAACAGTACTACGTAATTACCTGAATTATTGAGGAGTGTTTTCCAAGCGAGAAAGATCGAAGGGGTCTAGTACAGATGAAACAGTGAGATAATACGCATTTTAAGTTTTCTAAATGTTTTCGTTATCAATGCAACAGAAAAACAAAAGTTCCACATTCCGATTTTATTGCCCTTGCAACCCTGATTAATATCTATGATTAATATCTACACAGAGTATACTATAGGGGAAAAAAAAAAGAACAACCAAGTTTATTACAAAACGCTCTTTCCCGAAGAAAATATTTGTGTCTGAATTAGTCTAAATTAATTTAGAAGCATTTCTTGAGGAATCTTTGCAACATAAATGTGTTTGTTGGAGTGTGTCTGAATCGCACAATGGTTGTCGGCCTTTTATCCTGGTTCCACCACTGAACAACTTCTTGGCTTTTTGACCACACTGTAAAAGGATCTTGGATTTCAGCAGTGCTAATCCAGCCCTCCCTTTCCTTCCCCGTCCTCTTCTTCCCCTGAGGCAAAGCTTGCCAAACGTTGAGTTGAGTCAAGAATTAACATTACAGCACTCAGGGCATTCCAATACATGCTCCGTCCTCAACTTTATCTGCCAGCACAGAGTTCCAATACTGATGGTTCGGGTCACGATTAAAGCGTACGAAAATAAACTAAAGAATAGATAACGTTATGTCGTAGTGACAAATCAGACAACAATTACAACTGTACAGAGGGGCAGTAGTTAATCTGTGACGACACACCAATCATCGCCAGTGCTACAGAGCCCGTGCACTGTGCAGAGCTTCTTCGGACTCAGACTTGAGTTAGAAGAACAGCGGAGCACTTTTAGATTACTATCCGTGTGTCGAGATGTTGATCCGTTTTTCAAAACCTAAAAACCCCAAAGACCACACACCAAAAAATAACATTTTCTATAGTCATCCCTGTGTATTGAGCGCGAAAGTGAGTGAGGATTGTCTTTCTAATACTCCGGACAAATCCACGAGTGCTTCTGAAAAGCTCCATAAGTGTAAGAAGACGGTACAATCTATTATGTGTTGATTAATCCCTTAGTGAAATGTTCATCTTTTGCAGCCCCAAGCTGCATAACCCTTGTCCATCAGCCTAGACGAGGATACGGTAAGTAATCGACATGGCATTCTCTGGCTGTCAGTCTGGTGACCATTCCCATGCTGGCTAGAAATGGCCACAGTCATAGGATAGAGTATTGTCATTACTCAGAAGAAGCACTAACAGACCTTCCCTGCAAGTGAGTTCGTATTTGTAGGGCTATGATATGTTATTTTATGTTATCAAAGTTGACGTCACTGCACACTGGGCATTCCTATGCGTGCTTAGTCTTTCGATACAGTGGCCACCCCGAAGTACATCAGCGTACATTTACATTAAAAAAAATACTTACTTGGGCATGATTAATATGGAGCTTCACGCCAAATTTCAACATGTTACATGGAACGTCTATGAGCTACAACTTTTTAAGCCAAGTGTGATCAGCCAAGTTATTCTGATTTCTGTGGTATATATCATGTGTAATACACCAAAGATTTTAATAAGCATTGCCAATATCACTGAACCAGGATTTAGAGTTGGTGATACATTATTTTAGAAAACATTTAGAGATTTTCAACGCAACAATCAATACTTTTATTTACCTAAAGTATAATAATAAATTTAGGAATGCGGTGCATTCGAAATGGAAGAAAACTATTCATCCCTCATGAATCATCGTTACTAATCAGCAGATTA